ATAAGGCAAATTTTTAGCCCATAAACAGAAACAAAGGCGCATTTAAAGCAAATCCTAGCGTCTTTAGGAAGTTTTAAGATACTCACCCGGCCAGCGACAGCGTCCAAATCTTTTCCCAACAACAGATGCCATCGTGTCGCCAATACCAAGGGAAAGGATCCCAGAATACAGTGCAAGCTTGCAGCCTGTGATTGGACAAACAAATTCACAGTAACCTGACGAGAATAGATCCCAGGCCAACCGCGCCCTAACAAGCATTAATGGAACTTCCATGTAATAGTGTAGTTTGATCGTCCGGGTGAGTGTAGTCCTGAGAAGGACTGTTGTCGGTAGTGATGACTGACGTTTCTCAGGTTGTCCAAACGTCAGTCACCACTACCGACAACAGTCCTTCTCAGGACTACACCCACCCGGACGATCAAACTACACTATTACATGTTACCCCCGGGTTCAAACCATTTACTGTAATGGAACTTCTGTTCTTTTTTCCTCTATCGGAATGGATCTTATCGAGAAACCGAACTTACCAGTGGAGTCACTCTTCAGGTAATCGACAGGATATAACCACAACGGCACAGCAAAGCCCAGTAACAAATACAAGTGGGTTAGAATGAGTGGCCCAGAATCTTTCTCATCTAAGAACACCTCAAGTGCTGAGTGAATTGTTTCACCAAACGGTCCTATTCTGTACAATCGGATGTACTGGGAAACAAAATTCAAAACATGTTCACAATTTTTTTTCCAGGGTTATGTTCTGATATTTCACGTCCAACGTAATGGCCTTGAAACACGTTATTTCGAGTTTGTTATGGAGGGGGGGGGGCGGGGGGCGGGGGGCGGGGGCGGCGACAATACTTGTGAGCCACAATTTTGGATAAAACTCAGTAAGGTTTGTGAAATTAATGTTACAAGGCAACAAGTAAGTTGAGTAATTATTCACATTAGATTATTCAAAGAAGATTTACAAGAGAGTATCTCTAGAATGAGAAAAAATGGATTTACCTCCATGTAAGTACTGAAAGATTTTTACCCGTTTTGTGACTGTTATCTATCTGAGCCCTGTTCTTTTGGATTCTACGTGAACGTAACAGGTTCTTAGCCGAGGATAAGTCAAGGAAAAGGTGATCAAGGACGGCACAACAAACCAACATCCTCCTTCACTTACCTCTATAAATAGAAAAGCTGCAACAGCGACGGATGAAGCTAGATGGGTTATGTTTGGCTCGTAAATCACGCCTGGTATGTAGATCGCTAACGCCAAGAGGTGGAAAACTTTACGAGTTATCGTGCCAGAGGCATTTGGCGATGATTGACGTCGCAGACTTTTCCATGCAACAAACCCTACAGCTACAAAAACGACACAAAACCAGTAACGAACTAGCGGCATCTGCAAGAAATACAAACACGAATTTAATTTTTTTAAAAAAATAGAAATAAACAAGATCGGGAAAAACTACGTGTACTTTGGCATTAACGATTTAGAAAAAACGGTTTGAGGCTAATACCTTGTTCTGTGTCTGTTTGAAAAGTCAGTACTAGGAGACAGTTTGCGATACAAAGCGATCAAAAGAGCAAACGCAACTCGAACTCCTGTTTTTCTTGAGACTTTTTTAAAACTTATGATTATTCCCCGCCTCATTGCTCTCCTACAACACAACGAACAAACGAGACAGTGAATCTGTCTGGGAATCTTTAATGATACATTAATTACAGACAAGTGTGGAAAAGGAAGGTTTAGCATTGATTTACATAAATAAGGTCCAAACAAAGACACCGACACACCAGCGACGCACCACCAACGCACCAACGACGCACCACCGACGCACCACCGACGCACCACCGACGCACGGTTGGATTGGATTCTTTACCTTTACTTTTTTTAATTTTTATTTTATTTTACATTTTAATCATTCAGCAATGAGATTAGAATCACATTAAATATCACTGTTAATAATTTAGTGATCATTAATTAGGATTAACAAAAATTCAAATTTAAAATGCTTTGTTTGTCCAAAACAGCATAGACTTTGTAAGATTTTTCATTGCAGTTCACATACAATGACTGATGGATACAATTGTATTTAAATAATTTGTAGAAGTTTGACAGGCAGCTTTACCCTAATGTTCCCAGTGTCTAAATAGTCCCATAGCCACACAAATGGATTGATGCCACCCAAAATGAGCACAGACCATGGCAACAGGAGAGCAAAGAATGTAAACAACAATACAGCATAGAAAGCCATGTAACCAGTTAATCTCTCCCAATAGTCCCTAGAAAGCAAACAGTACATGTGAATAACTGATCAAAAATCAAGCTCACCCCAGAAACAGAGGCCTGAACCATAAGGATAATGATTTACTCTGACTGCTAAGTAAGATTATGTAAAGACAATCATCTATATGTGACAGTTACTATCAGGGTGACACATTTCTCTGTTCCAAAAGGCCTTTTTTTCTCTCTCTATTCTTGAGATTCAGAAGCAAACTCAAATGAACCACACAAATATGATGCTTAACCCTTTAAGACCAGAGAGTGTCTGGCTTCTCATTTCTCCTTACAGTGTCAGCCTTAAATCAAATGTAAAGGTCATGAGAATGAAGGAAATGATCACCAGGTTAAAAGGCTCCTGTTTGTCCAACAGAACAGTGTGAAGAATATAAATACCAATGTTGGGTAGCAATTAAAATAACCTTGGACAGACTATCTTCCCATTCAGCACTAGAAACAGTACTTCCAGATGCAACAGATTTTGTATAGTAAGAAGGCTAATTTGATGTGCCTAAGTAACTTACCAAACCTATGCTGTTCCTATCACAAGCTTTTCTTTACATCCAGTTACAAATTTTACCTCATATCAAGACTCACCTTACTAAAGAGAGATAGTAAAACACTGGTAGAAGGAGAAGACCAGTTGTCAATGATCCAACCAACAAAAGCTGAATGTCAAGATAGAGATTTTTGAGTATAGAGAGATTTCTTAAGTAAACAATTGACACATAAAAGTAATCAGTGGACACGATAACAATCGGTAGACTTGTCTGTATTCAGATTTTTACACAACCCCTGATCATCTGTTCTCCAGAAAGAAATTTTATGTTGGGTTAGACAACCCAACCTATATTCAGAGGAAACTTGCCTTTGTCCTAAGATTTTTCCCTGAATGGAGATTCCACTGTATTTAATTTGAGCCATGAGGATTGATTAGTACTAGTATTTGGAGCCAAGTAAACAAATACAACATGAATAAGGTATATGTTACCTGCATCCACAAAGTAAGAGTTCCTCTTGCAACCTCAGCATGAATTCCAAACAGATTATAGAAGGTTGGTGAAATGTATACTAACTGAAAACAGATGATTCTGAATTTCAGTATGAGCCTAAAATTCCAATGAAAAACTTTGGTCAAAACTTTACTTCCTACACATATAGCATTCCTAAAACTGTTTCTAATGGCACTTAATCTTTTACTTGCATGTTTACCTTTATTCCTAGGTTTGCATATGAATCAATTGCCACCAAAACAACTGCTTGTGTCACAATCATGGCCTCACCAATGGTAAAACATCCTGGTATCCACCGCAAGATGGCAAAGAGAGCAACAAAGTATAGCAACACACTTATGGACACCCACATAATATCAACATCTGTAATGAAAAAGGCCATAAACCCCATATTACAAAATAAATGCAGCCACTTTTGGGGATTACTTGTGTACAATATAGCATCAACACACATTTACTTACCTGACCCATCATTCTTTGCATTTTTCCCTTTTACAGTACCAAAACACTGCAATTGGCATTTGGATCCTACCTTCTAAATCTAATGTTACTTTAGATCTGTGTCCCAAACCCTCATAAGCAAGTTCAAACACAAGAAAGTTTTTGCCATGATTTACAATGTTCCTGTAAAAGGTTACCAGAGGATATACCTCAAATTAATTTTTAATGCTCAATGATGGATAAACTAAAATTGAACTGTGCATACCCAGCTGAACACCTATTGTAGCTGCTATACAGGCCGTGACCATAAAAAAGAAGACTGATGACATCATAGGTTTCACATGATTTATAATCAGCAGAATGGAGGCAGTGAACATGCCCATCAACTGAGAAGCCAACAGATAAGATCTTTCCACCTCTAAGGGAAAAAATTTGACAAAAACCATTTATCAGTAACTTTGCAAAATAATACAGACAAGACTCTGTCAGATTATGTATGTGGTGAACTTGGTTGTTACCTGTGACTTTGAGATACATGTATTTACTGTCCCATTTCTCGAGAAATGCCATTTGACTTGTGATCACCATGGGAACTAGAAGTGAACCAATTTCCATGCCGTCTCTAGCAATTGGCCTAAATATTGTACAAAGTGCTTCTCAAAATAAGCGATTAAGATAAGATCTAATTATTCAGTTTGAATCCATGATCAAGACAGGCAATCACATACTGGATAAAAAAACCAAGAGTGTTACTCACCTTAAATCAAACCATTTTCTTATCCCTGCAGTCCACTTCACCGATGGAATACAAGCGACCAAAAAAACTAAGACAAAAACAATGGAGAGCATTTAAACGCATATATCAGAAATTAATATGAAAGTTAAAATTCTTCCGACTTAGTGAGAGGCGATTAAAATTTTATATATATAGGCCAACAGAACGACGAGATTTGTGATTATCATGCTTCCCCATATATTTACTCATATGATCTTTAATCTTTAATCGAGATACTCCTGAAACAGTAATAACTATACCAGGAGGATGATGAGGGAATGCTGCTTTCACTCGGTATAACACTTACCTGTTACATGGAATAGGATGTAACCAGCGCTTTGTTTCAACTCAAACTGACTGCAAAACACGTATAAACTACATCCAACCACTACTGCCGACTCCCCAATCATTCTCAATCACTTATCGCTACCGAAAATTTAACGAAACCCGCAATTTCAATCGTTGACCCCTTGGATGCAGAATCCACTCGGCACATAACATCACCAAGGTTAGTTCCAGTCCAATAAGATGAGGAAGATCTGGGACAAGTGTTACACCGGAAGGAGAATGAGAATGGTTGACAAAGAAACAGGTGTTATCCTTTGGCTTGAGCATGTGTGTGGTTCTTCTTTAGATTGCGAACGTTTTTCTGAGCATTTTTCGGGAAGTTTTTCTGCGAAAGTAAGTTGTTTCTACTCTCATCTGCCCTCTAGAGCGGGAAATCGGGAGAAATCGAGGTTCCAATGCACTTCCATGACTTTCGCCCGATACTTGCAAAAGCGTTGCAAAAAACGAGCATAGTTCGTGCATGTCACACGAGGGAATTACATTTCGGAGTAGACAGAGGGTTATGTGTGCTTGAATTTGTGTAAAAGGCCTCCCCCAATCCTCAGTAATCCCTAGCCAGATGCTTTAAGTAAATTGCTTCTATGTAATGTCGACGTTGAATAGTGCTGATATGGCAATTTTTCCACGGGTTAATTACGAAAATATGTTATCGCCTTTTCCTCCAACGATTGATTTTATCAGCACTACAATTAGGAGACTTCCTTGCTGGCGACTGGCTGATATAGTTTAAGTCTTAGAGGCTGATTTGCCGTAACTGTCGTTGCCGTTGACATGTGTCATAGTAATGTCATGACAGGTTACCCTCTTAACAGTTACTGTACCAGTTCTCATCCTTAGTACTCCCCAGTTAGTTGCAATGACACTGTATTAGGGCCATTATAAATCATCCTCGAAACATGAACTGCTCCCAATAACTTTCTCCATGCTATACTTTGACACATTGTCATAAGTACTTTGTTTATTACTCTCCCTTCTACTCTTACAGGCTGTCATTGGTACTCTATATGTTACACACCATTCATGGCAGCACTATCTTAGCAAGGTGTCTTTCCTTAAAAATACAAAGGCACAATGACCTTGGCAAGAGTTTAATGAAGGGCTCTTGATGCAGATTCTAGTGTTTAATCAAATCATTTGCAAAGTTTCCCTCACCCAAGAGTGCATATATCCTATAACTGAGATGTTGACCTGTGATATGTGCATTCATTGATCAGATTACATATGGCATCTTGGGCCGTGCTATTTGAATCACAAATAGCGATTACCCAGATTTAATTGCCTTGGTAACCTGTGATTAATATAGGTATTTTACTCAGGGTTTTGAATAGCAGATCTTAATGGGAGGGGTGCTGTACTTCACATCAAGAAAAATTGTAAGGACCTGTAACAGTCATATGACAAGGTCGTTGGGGGTCAGGGTGAATTTTAGTACCCCAGGATTAAAAGGAAACCTTCTCAACAAGCCAATTTGCTGTAAACACAGTTTGATTTTATTTATGCCATTGTAATTCTTAGATTGCTACAATTTATTTTGGTCATGATTATGTCAAGATCAGAGCAGTTCTCTAATTCTCTTATGAAAGTTCTGTGGAAAGTCATGATTGTTTCAGGGTATGTTTTATCTAACAGTGATTTATTAATGTATGTATAGGTATGATCACAGTATTATCCACAAATGAAATTCTAGGCAGCCTTCACTTTGTAAATTATTCTCCTAATTTTTTCATTCTTTTCTTCTGTCTCTCACTCCCGATCATAAGTTTAACAAATAATTGAAAATGTTCCAACAGAGAAAAAAACCTTGCTGGAGAAAACCAGCTGAATTACAGAGTCATTTTTAGAGTGTCCTTTTTTTGATAGTCATAAAAGCAAATGGTGTAGTGATCTTTATGAATGTCGATAACATCTTTGTCTCAATTTATTTGTTTTTTTAATAATAATAATAATAAAAGATTTATACCGCGCCAGTATCCTACTGTTCAAAGGCGCCTACAAGAAAAAAAAAAACTTGAAAATTAACACTTAAGACAGCTAATATTAATTATTACAGAGTATTGATCTATGGATCTCATGCTATATTGATCAACTTGTGTAAAAATGAAAATGGGAAAATTCCATTCAGTTCTGCATCAGTGGTCTTGTTGAGTGAAGTCATGAAGGTACTTAATTGCATGGAACTGTATGTTACAGTTGAAGAAGCATTTTTCTTTTCTATTTTATTCATGAATGTTTGTCATGTTCATTGCTAATTATGGTAGCTCTGATTTTGTGAAATTTCCTCTTTCTACATGTAGTTTGTCTTCTCTGTTACCTTCCTAATTCCAGAGATGCTGCGTGGTGCAGTGCATTTTCTGCCATTAAAAACCCTTGTGTTCTTTTCCATCCCTGCTCTTCTGTACTGCATCAGTAACAACACAGCAGTACATGTGCAAGGTTACCTTGATCCAGCAAGCTTTCAGGTATAGTTTAAGTATAATCCTCAAATTCTTCATTGAAGTAACAGGTCAGTTTTAACTAACTTAAACCTTACTTAACTTTTATGGGGTTTTCATGAAGAAATGTGGTTGCAGCAGAGTGTGTTAAATAACAGAAGAATATTCTCTATATTTGAATAAAAATAGGTTGGCTCATAAAAATTCAGCTGTACAGTATAATATTTTGGAGTAGCCAGATAGTTCTGGAATCTTTATTGCTTAATAAACCTCAAGTAAATCTTATTTTTAGCTTGGCTTTCATCTTGTAACCTATGCAATTTGAGTTAATCAACTGTTACAAGAGAAAAGGTGTAAATTTGTGATCTCAGTCGATTGTGCTAAATATTTCATGAGATAAGTACTTTTTCTTGCATAGTTATGGCAGACTGAAAAATGCTCAGGACATAATACAAGTGTATAACTATGTTAAAAACAGTGGAAAGCAGATTTACATTACTGTTACTGGCATCCTCTTGATGATATTTTACTGCACAATGTCAGGACTGGCTGGAATTTCAACAGGTTATTTTCATTTGAGTCATTAGATGCAATGTACTTATTTTATAATCATTCCATTGAGTTTTGTCCATGTAGCTTGCTATCTTTTTTTTTCTATTCACTTGCAAAACACTTTGATGTATTTGTATGGAATCATTTTCAATCTTTTGGCTTACACTTCAACAAATCACTCAGCAGGAACCATCTATGACACATCTGCGGGTCAGTTTTATGTTGTTTGCAGGGGCTGTGTTAACTTGTATGGCAGTGATAGTTTAGAGAGAACAAGCAGTGGAATCCAAATTTTTGAAAGATATTTTTTTTGGTTGCAGAAGTCAGAACTGGATAATTACTTCATGATAAAATTGTTTGTTCAAAGCAATTAAGAAATATTGAGAAAACCACTGAAAGTTTTGAATTGATTTGTCAATTCATATACTTAGTTATTTCACTTCCAGCTTTTTATTGTCCAAGCTTCTCATTGACGTTTTTTGCTGTCTCTTTGTGTGTTAGGATTTTTTCATGGTTATTCAAAGTGGACTGTGGTGATCGTTTTCTGCCAGGTAAGTTGTGTAAGCTTTTACATGACGAGATTAAAGCAAACGATAAAAAAAAACAAATAAACAATCAGATAAAAAAATGAATAACTAAAGTCAAACCAAGGGGCACTCATCAAACGTTTGTACAAGGATGTTACGCCTAAAGCTTCATATCGTTACTTACCCCTTTCTCCGACATATACCTTTCAAAATGTTCACACAATTACTAGCTGGTTTTTTCCTCTGGTTATGGAGAGAGAGCTTGATGCGGGAACAGATTAAGATGATGCGGGATGAGGGCTGTACAGGGTGTGTCCTGGCCAAGAAGAAAACTTTTTTCTGCGGTCTCGACCCGGTCTCTTCCCGTTCGTGTGTCAACACGTCAATGCGTAGGACCGTGAGAGAAAAAGAAACAACCTTTTGTTAGTCAATTTAACTTGTAGCACATAAAAAGCAGGGATGAAGAGACGCGTTTTATCCAAAACTGAGAGAATTGTACTCAATTCTGTTCTGAGCACTCCTTTAAAAAGAGCGGTTGACCTTTTAAAATACATGAATGTTTTTACCTCACGAAATCTTCAGCCTTGTAGTATGGCTGAAAAGGGTTCCACTACCCGGCCGAAAATCTCTATAGTGGAAAGGGGTGGGGGGGATGGTACCTTACAACTACGCCAAAGAGTTAAATGATGACAGCCTTTATAAGGAGAATAATTCTTGCTTCGTTGAATTTCAGGCCACGAATGGACTTATTTTATCAGCGGTTATGAAACACTCCAGTAACCTGATCCGTTTGCTAATCAGAGCTTGTGCAATGAGCGTCAATACAGCCTTGTCCATGGCTATATCCTCACTACAGCTCAACCTCTACTTCAATGTTGCTTTCATTTTAGTCATTGTTGCTTTGAAACTCTATCACAGCTGAGGTAAGGGAGTAAAATTAACAACTTGTGGAAGAGAGTTATTTCATACGGTGTGTTTTTTAAGCCAGTGAAAATAGCAGAGTAAAAGAACGAGTTTAAGTATTCGAGAGAATTCCTTAAACTGAACCATGCAACAATTTCTGATGATTCATTTTAATGTATTCTAATGTATTATAAAATATTCGTAGCTTGTATAATTGTTTTGTTTTTTTCATCTCTGTAAGGAAGCACTGTGAGCTTAAAGAATTTGGTTAACAAAAGAAAAAACGTCTGTACTTCTTTATCGAAACATTATAGATGAGGCGGTGGAGTTCGAAAGTAGTCATAAATTTATCATTCTATGCTTTTAGTTTGTACATATTTTGCCACTGGATTGTATGATCTTATGTGATATAGTGAAAAATTTGTAATTATGTTCATAAATAAAGGTGTACTGTAGTTTCAGTAAATTTAATATATTTTAGAAGTAACGATTTGGTTGTGGTCGCGCTTTTCGTACTTCGTGACCTCGAGCCAAATATTTTACCTTATGCCGCCCTTCGTGTTTGGAAAAGAACAAACTGTTTTAGCTACAGAGCTAAGTAGAAAAATGTCCACGGGGAAATGATGATGGTGATACTTTTCGCTGTTGAGATAAAACAGTTTCTGAGACGGGGACTTAAGAAGGAAAGCTTGCTAGTTTTGATGACGAAAATGTATGTTAATTTTATCCCGCCCGTCGGTCACGGATCGCATATTGTTTAGCTAAGTTACCCGTGTGCATCTTGATAAGCTGATTGTAAAGACACCCCAATATTTATTGTCTTCTAAAATCAATATAGGTACAAGTGTTTCTGTTACTCGGCTGAGAGCAGCGTAGTTTGGTAATACAAAGAATAACTTACAGAAGCTTTCCAAGCGAATTAGAGATGACTATAGCGCATATTGGCTGTCCGGCGAAAAGATTATAGCAATGCGGAAAAACTGGAGTGAAATCATGCAAGATTATACTTGAAGTCGTTTAATAGAGTTGTTTTCACAAACATAAGCTTGACGTCGATGGCAAAGGAAAGCCTCTTGGACAGTGACAAGGTCGTATACTCATCGGAAGATGAGGATGAAGAGACCAAAAGGGCTCGGGGGTGCGCTACTTCATATTTAGTCGACGAACGTGAGACTTCGGGCAAGTTGCCTCCGAAGTTTCGTCAGCGCTGGTTTAGAGCCGCTTCAATGCTGGCGCTAGTTTCATTTATATCGGCCGTTGGATTTAGCATAGCGTCGATTATAATTTCACAAACAACTGAAAGTTCAGCGGTGTTTGCAACAGGTTTCGACGCATTCTTCGCGGCTATAAATGTGGTAGCTGTCTGTTGGAGATTTCGTGACGAACTCAACGGAGAAATCGGAACAATGAGAGAGAAGAAAGCCAGTACAGTGATAGCGACTTCATTCATACTTGGTGGAATTGCAACTATTGTTATTGCTCTTCACAATCTCGAAATTGATGACCATCCCACCAAGACTGACGAAATGAAGGTAGTTCTTGGTGTGGGTGCTTTATTGTACGCAATTCTTACTTTTCTCCAGTGCTATGTTGCACAATTGGTAAACAGTCAGTCCATGAGAGCGCTAGCGGTGGATTCAGCCCAAGGTGCGTTTATGTCTGTTGGAGTGTTGGTATCTACTTACGTTTATACCAAATTTAAACAATTTTGGTATCTGGACCATGTAGTTGCGACAATAGTAGGTGTTGTGTCTTTAATATACGGTATAAGTTTATTTGTGGAAATACTTGGATTAAATATAAAGGAAAGATTAATGTTAGCTTTCCAGAGAGAATTTTAAGATTGTTTGTTCAGCTTTGATATAGTTGTTAAAAATTTGCATTAAATAAAATTATCAAAGTATATTTTTAATCTTGGTCAGTTAAAGTTTTCTACTCTCAGAAATATTAATGAAACAACAACAAATATCTCGTAAAAAGTAGCTCAGAATTGCCTTCGGAGGTAAACTGTTGTTATCAAAAAATAACCTGACTTAATTTAAGAACGGCGATGGGAGAGGTGCTTTTGTGAAAAACAAGTAGATGTTTTATGACTTTTGAACTCGGATACTCCTAATGCATTTAATTCGAACAAGTAAGTTAATAAGTGGATTGTGCCGGACACACATTCACAATCACGTCTTTATCACATGTCTTTAACACATGGATTCCAAGATATAAGTATTGTCATATATATTTAACTTGTTGTGCCGAAGATGTATGTTCATTTTATTACAGCAGCAAAAATTTTTTTGTCACGTCATTCATAGGCGTGCGTTAAGATTTTCAGAGTTTTGACTACAAAACTGTGCAAAGTATGATCGCATCGCGTGTTTTGTGCCGGGGCGCCGATACCGCAATAATCAATGGAGGGAAAATTGAAGTTACATTTAATTTGCACGATAGAAAAATACCAGCAACAAATGCCCTCTGGGGCCTTTTACCTTATTCAAGTAAGTAGCAATTATTCGTCAGAAACTGAATATGTTAACTTTGTTTGTATGAATCAGGGCCTAAAAAAGTTAAACAAGCTGATCACGCTTTTTCCTTTTATTTATATGCGGAATCGGTACATCTGCCACTGTTCACAAAAATCATTACGCAGGTTTTAAATTATCATTGAAAAGTCAGACAGTGACAATTTCTTTTATTCTGGAAACAGCCTTGTCGTAAGACATACGCAAAGACTTCATTTAACAATAAACAGGTTTTAACACACCACAAGGTTCGCCTCCTATGCTGAGATGTCTACTGAACTCGGAAGGTAGAGGTGAACAGATTTATGTGGCAAGAAATCTACTATGAACATAGCTTTGGCGCTATTCTCGTCCAGGTGTGCGAGAAACAAACAAACAAACAACCAAACAACAATAAAAGCGATTTTAAGAAAGTCCATGTGAGTAATTTGCACGCACATTCAGTCTCGTGCCTAGACTTCTTTCGCTGCAAACAAGAAGGCGGACAGTTTAGCAGTTTGGCAACTCAGCTGTTTTGGTTGAGAGATCTTTAGGCCATCACTTTTCTTCAAGCCAGCCTCAGTGAAGATTTCTCCAGGCTATGATATGGATCCCACAAACACTTTTGAATCGCCCGCGCTGGGTAGTACTTGTGACTCCAAAAAGATTACATTTTAGTGTTGAATTGGAAACGTAATAGTTCGATAAACCAGCAACAGTGCTCAATTCTAACCATTTATTTCGAATCGCTTGTCCACAAACATCTCAGATCAAAGAAATACACGTTATTTATTGTGCATATACGATACATGATAAGACCTGATTTGCATCCTTAGCAAGCCATGGAAGCAAGAAAGACATAATTGCAACAATAAAACTACGGTACTTTTAACTTTTCATTCTTTTTTTTGAGCGACGATGCTGTAAACACAACAATTAACCTTGAAATACTTTTGCAACTCTCATTTTATAGAATGAGTAACTAGCATGTTGATTTAATTCAAGAATTTGATAGCGCGAAAATAAACAAAACAGTCCTTTCTATTGACCAGCTGAACTCGGAGGCCTGCGAACGCAGTCACCCCCTCTGTTCTCGTCAAAAGAACAAGATACTTCACATTGGTTATTTTAATTAGGTATCTGGATGTAAGGTTTACGCGAAATCACAATTTACCACAAAAAGGAGCGATTTCCCATCACATTTCATTGACACATAAGGAAAAAAAGGGGGCCACTGAAAAAGTAACCTTTGGAAAAAAACTCGGTTTCTCACTCTTCAACAAAGTTTTGGGTGTTTCGTGCAAAATGCTATTTGGACTATTAGATGGATGCCATATATGACGGATATAAAACCAATAAATACCGCCACTGAATGATCCAACATCCAAACGCTTTTTCCGACTTGCCTGTAGATGAACGTAGAAAACAGCACTCCCAGTGACATGCCTGCCGCAAGCCATGAATCGATAGCGAATGCTTTTAATGAGATACTCTCGAGTTTCTTGGCGATGCAGTCCTGAACGAGAGCAAGAAAGAAATAACATGTGAAACTGGAAGCTAGAATAGCAATAAGTTCGGCGGGTTTCTCAGGGTAGTCTTTTGCCATAAGATGTAGAATAGCAATTGAAGTGGTTGCGCTTCCACTCAACATGAAAGTTACTGCGATTCCAAATGCGGCGATTTTCTCTCGCTTTGGTGCAACTTCACCATTGGACGCATCTCGAAATCTCCATGCCACGGCCAGAGAGTTGAAAGCCCCCATAATCCCATCTAATGCGCTGGCAAAAATGGATGAACTTTCAGTGCTTTTGGAAGCCACGAACGAGAGTACACTGAATATAACAGTGACGAATAATGAAGCAATGGAAGCCATAAAAGCTGCACGACTCCATTTTTTGCGAAATTTCTGAGGCAGAAATGTTTTGCTAGGCGCTTTAGTTTCCTCCAGATATGACACGCAATGTTTGTCTTGGAGAGGTTGTTTGTCTTCTTCGTCCTCATCAGAGAATGCCTCCATTGTTAAGCTTCGTTGAGATGATGGAGAATCGCTGCCACTCGCCATTTCTAATTCAGGGTGGATTTTTAAATCAGTTGTTTCAATTCTTGTGCTGTTTTTCTGCTGTTCTCACCATTATGGCTATTGGTTTAAGCCATCTTTACCAGGAGGGTACTTTTAAAGTGGTTGCGTATCAACCTATTTCGGCATTCATTCACCTGAATTAAATCGATTCTTTCGGTTCAAGTGAGCGAAATTCTAGAGCCTCTCCGTTGTAATGCCCTTTCTATAGTTCCTCAGTTGCCATTAAATTGATCAAGAGCGGCTCTTTCAAACTTAAAACAAGCCAAATTTACCAAACGTCTCCGGTAATTTACTGTTTATATAGAAAACTACATCCGGCAGGCAGCCATGAGGGATGGAAATTTCGAGGGATTAATATTTGTTTTCGCCCAAGTCAATGCTAAAATGGTAAACATTTCGTCAACGTAAATACCCGATGCAAATAAGAAAGGCTGTGTGACAGGGTTGCCATCGACGCTCTTACTTTCAAGAGGAATGTTTATTCAATGCCTTCCCTTTTACAAAGGCATAATCACGAGACTTCGATCTGTAAAACAATGGAGGAAAATGTGCTTTACACAGTGGGAAAATAGTCAATCAAAATACTCTTAAGAACTGGAATATTTAACTTAGATGTTGATCGCCTTTTTAAGCGCTCCTACAAAATGATAAAAATGGATTTAAAACTCGTCGTAAAATCATGTGTGGTGTGAGTTGCGGTGAAATGGCTGTCTCGTTTGAATGTTATTTTTATACTAGCACCGTATATTTTCACATAGGTGATAAGAAAAAAAGCTTCTCTGATTTTGATATTGCATAGTACGTTTACAGAACTGTACATTGTACATCTAACTTAGGGTGGGTGTATATATGTTGCACCTCATAATTGGGGCTTCTGAACAGGTTGAGGAAATGACTTGAAATGATTTTTGCCGCATCGGGATGCTTCACACATCAAAGAAAAAGGGGAAATGAATTGTTACTTGGATCCTGGATGAAGTACTTTTTAGTGATGACTGTAGTATGGATTTTATGGTAAGCTTATCAATCTCGATAGTTTAAAAGAAGATAGAGCGAAAAGGCTGTGTAAGAATTAAATGCGGGATCTCACTGGCTTTACCGTTTATTTAAAAAAAGGACTGAAAACCAAATGCAAGCCACTCAAACCGCCATGTTTGACAGCCGCGCAAAGTCTTCGCTCGTCAGAGGTACGCCCCTGACGATAGGTAAACTTCCGAGAGGGTGTGGAGAGGGTGGAGAGGGGGAAGGTAATCTGCTCCCCTGCCGGGTGCCTAGCCGAGTCGAGCTTGAATTCAGTATTAATTAACACGCACACGAAGAAGTGATACACTTTGAAAGTTTTACGATCATGAGTGACAATGTTTACACGCAATCGAGTTGATAGAATTGCGTTTCACCCCCGGCAAACTCTCTCTGCCTGCTCTCAAGCCATTTGACGCCTATTTATGTAATAATTTAGATTTAATGATTGATTGATTGATTTGTTCTGTAGTTGATGAGCGACGTTAGCCTATTGTTCAAAGGGGCGTTTGAGGTTTCCCATTACACGGGTAGAACGATGGTGTGCTAGAGCATGATAGGACATAATATGGCACAGTATTTTTAGTGCCGTGAGGACCTGGCGGTTTCTGTTTGTGCATTTAATAGGAAGCAAATAAAATCCTTGTTGAACTGATCATTTCACGCCTTGATATGGAACTTCACGGACGAAAATTTCTCAATGAATGCTTTCGTAAGGGATATTGGCGGTTCTCACCTCGTAGGTGGCGGGAATTCAGTTCAGTTGAATGGCTGAACACTGATCGATCACGTAAAACACATTTCGAACTTGCTTCAGCCAATCTATTTAACCTATTATAACAGAATTGTGAAGTTCACGAGAGTGATAAGGTTTTCTTAGGGTTTCCTTCCAATTTCAACGCATGAATAAACACTCGAAAGACATGTACGTCGGAAATATAGTGTTTACGTGATATTTTCGCGCCATAATTTGGAGATATTTTGACCAGCGGCGAACCTCTTGCTGACTATTCGCGCTCACCAGCAATCAGGGATCCGTGGAGTTTGATATTTTGAGTTTTAGCTGATTTGATCGAGTTAAGTGTTCTTGTTCACGCTGTTACACGTCTGGTTGTGTTTGCTGCTATTTATTTTGCCCTATAGCGACCTAAGTCCGCGAGAAATTGCCCCATGAAGTTTTAAATTCCGTTAAACTGCAATCGACAGCGAAATGCAACGTGCGTCAGTCATTCAACATGCCTTGCTCTGTTCTTTGCTGGTAATATTTTGGGATCGCGGATCCAGTCATACAGGTGAGTTTTCAATTTACGATTCATTCTCATAACGGGATGTATTTCATCAGAGACATTTGTTCGGACTTGTTGTGGCGATCAGATCAGACTTGCTATCCATGTGTTCGCTTTGAAAAACGGACAGATCCGTTCGATTCTCTGTACTTTTTTATGAAGCACAATGTGCGAATATGTTTTGTGCGCTACGTTGCTTGAAAGAAAAATCGTATCATCACTGTGCCGTAAAACGTATAGCTGTTTAGAGATCAAGCCGTGTTTCTAGTTGCATGGGATAATCAAGCTTACATAATATAACACAATTTAATTATAACGCTGTGTAATTTAACCTTTAATTGTGGTCAGGCAAGTGGAATAATTCTCTGATGATGAACTCTCTTACTTCCTTTCCAAAGCTGTACGTGTGCTTCGCGCATTAACGATGGAGTGGGACATTAGAAAGCATTTTTAACAGGGTCATATATGTTTATGCAAATCAAGAGAATAAAACATGTGACTTCAGTCATATTTTAAGTGGTGCTATTCCAGTAGTTCCATGAATGAATCGCCCGATTCTAACCTTAAGTGAGGCCCTTTCTTATTGATCAAGTGTTCCACCGCTTAGATCTGACGAAATTCGCTCGTGGAGTCTGTTAATGAATTTTAGAAGCATATAAGGCCATTTTAGTCGCTGAAATCATGCCTGTGCTTGAAACAGGAGCAGCTGTCAATTCTCACGCTTGATTGATCAAGTGAATCGAACACAAAAACCTTCCATTGAATACCTTCTCGAAGGATGGCAATATTTTTTATTTCTATGGTGACATATGGTTTTCACATCCTGTCTTCCGGCTCACCTCACAAGCAGTTAATTGTGTTTAATGGTTGGTATTTTAGTCAGTCGGGTAAGCATTTGAAGTTTCATTGTCTATTTTACGCTGATGTCTAGAGGTTAATTTGTCCCTTTAAATAGGGACAAACCGATGATAAGAAAATTGAAAAACGCCATGGTAGTGCGTGGAAAGGGAAAAAAGGTTGATTTTGTCGCTAATAATTTCCACCAAAATACAAACCACTTGATAACTTGGCGGAAACCACACTAAACCGAAAAAACCCGTGTGCCTTCTTTTTTCGTCATATTTTCTCGTTTTCGTGTCGTGTACTTCCTTTACACGCCGGAAGGAGATATCTACAAAGTTCGAAAAGGGCAAGTCATTTAACCAAAAACAGGACGAGTATGATGAAATAAGCATTTATGTTTACGAGATACCCCGGAGGATGACCCAAGATAAGAAAGGAACAACAAGCTTAGGGTTGGTGACCGCCCAAGCTTTTCATGTCGTTCTAAATTAATCTAATTAAGCTAAGATTAAGAGGATCTTTTATTAAAACTGCGAGAGACTTCAAGACTGGCTCTGTAGAGTGTGAAATCTGAACTGAAATGAACGGTTCATCGAGCTGTAACTCATCCACAGAAAAACCGCATGGCATGAGAGTAGCTGGAGAAACCTGGCACTAAGCCACTTGCCATATGCGTTGTAACAAAAACAGAAAAGAAGGAAGATGTTGTTTAAGACTGAAAAGTCCACACGAGTCCGTATTTTCGATTTGAAAATCCTCCCTTTTCTCTCCCGTAGCCATGAATCGTGATGTCACGCAACACTTTCTCAAATTGTATGACATCGTACGGTTTAATCTTGTCATTCTAACGAAGCCCAGACATTTGGTACAACCTTACAGTTGTATGAAAGAATTTAAGAGATAATCCTTGAGCACTTTATGCCCGCATAAAAACTTGAAATAATCCACCTTATCCGTAGCTAGGTATTATTGTAATACTGGAACTGAATAGAAGTGGAAAGGAATCAATACTATCAAAGTCCACCAACAGTAAATGCAGCAGCAGCAATGTACAACAATTTATGGATTTTCTATCTTTTAGTGATCGGTTCAATTTTTTGTGGGGAAAATTTTTTTCACAAGTCTTACAGTATCTAGGATGTAGAAAGCACAAATTTTTTCTCTTCTTTTTGTTCAAACTGACCAGACCAAAGAAGAGGGAAGAAAAAGAAAAGTAAAAAGCTTTTAAAAAATAGAAATACCTTTTACTCGTGGGCCTACTTTGTATTAAAACAAAAGCGACTACCGTGAAAATTTACATTTCAAAAAAATTATTTTTATTGCGTTAAACGTGCCCCAGAGACAAGTAAACATAATGGAACAAATATGTGTAAATTTCTTTTGCGTAGGCGGCACCACGTGGGTTTAGCCATGGTTCCTTTCATGTCACATGACAATTGTTATTATAAGTTGTGTTTTTTGTTTTTTGTATTTACCACTCTTGACTGATAGGAGTCTTACTCGATTTGTTAACATCGTCAACAGACTTAAAGTTTAAGAGCATTTGTTCACATTTAAGCAAAGCTTTTGTTGGTTTATCAAAGATCTAGAACAGAGAACAAAATCATACGGTTGTGTATGGTTGACGAATCACCGAGTTCTTTCAAGGCCTCAAATCCACTTACATAACTTAGGGTTTATCTGACACAAAATGTGGATTTTTCCGAATTCTTTGTACATCTGCAACTTAGTCTTCCTTGTTTGGTTATTTTGTGCGAATGGGGACTCAAGAAGTCGACGGTCTCCAAGCGGTAAGACAGTGCAAGGTTTTTTTCTTTGTCAGTATTATTATTTTTTTTAGTTTGAGATGAAGTTTTCCAGCACGTGTTCTCTGTTTTGTCGCGCTCTGATGCGTGTATCCGAGTGCTGTCTGCTGAATACTTTTTTGTAAGACCTAATCTTTCCCGTTCAAAAATAAGACATTGGTGTTAACGCATTGTCGATCGAATGGTATGTACAGTGCATGTAGCAATAATTTTCCCCATCTTTGTTTCAGTTTCTTCAGCCACATTCAACTTTCTCTAGCGTTGGTAAAAATATATTTCATGCATCTTTTGTGTTGACGCAATCATTTGAAATTAATTATGAAAGAAAATAGCTTTCTTTTGCCAGCTGAGTAAACTTCACATTCACATGACGTATACTCGATATCAGTTGCCAAACTCTTTTAACATCTTACGCCATAGATAAACCAAAACAACTTGTCGGGTTGCAGTGGTTGTTTGTGTTTTTTTTTTGTTATCAAAATCCTGAATAAAGGTCAGTTAAAAATACCTTTACTCATTTTTTAATGAAATTAAAAAGATAAATATCTTCCCGTTAAAGCCAATTGTAGAGACATGATTGATTGATTCGTTATCAAAAGAGACATTGAAATTAATGTGGCTACGAAGTATAGACATTACAAGCAGTTTATTATGTACGTAGTGCAGTTTGTTTAGGACTCTGTTCGCAAATGTAACAGAACTATAACTCGCCTCAGATCATCAGGCAAATTCAAGAGGGAATCTAACTACGAACTGAAAATTTTATTGTACAAGGGAGTATTTTGTTCTTCTCACGTCTTAATCAGACGAGCTTTTTTTTTTTTCCTTGTAATGAGCTTGAAAACCCATAATGATGTTGCTCCTACGACAAGGTGTCAAGGAAGAAATTATTATGCCCAAAAAGAAATGACAATATGTACCAATTAAAAAAACCGAGGAAAACCCTAAGAAAAATGAAAGCTAGAAAGCTTTTTAGGATATGTGAAGAGGCGGGCAGTGTTTTGTGAGAGATGTCTCTAATTTGGGGTTAAACGTTTATGGGCAAAATATTGAAGTAATTACCTGCAATTGTATTTCCTTTTGTCTGTTTATGGGTCGGTCTTTCCACCAGGTATTTTTTTCCTCAGTTCATTTCGTCTTCTTTCTGTCCAACTGTCGGTCTGTTCGTGTTAAAATCAATCAGTCAGTGTTTCAGTCATCCTTTTGAACTCGTTTGTTCATTCTGTCGTTCGCTCGGTCAGTCGATCCATTCGTTCTTCTATCAACTGATCAGTCTGTCTGACTGTCCGCAGTCAATCAGTCCGTCAATAAGTTAGTCATTCAATCAAGACTGTTCATCTGCCAGTCAGGCAGTCGGTCATTCAATCCGTTTGAACTCTTTCATTTTGTCGGTTGCTCTGTGTGTCTGTCGATCCGTCCGTCGGTCCATCGATTAGTCACTCAATCAGTTAGTCTAACTGTCTTTCTGTCTTTTTGTATGTCAGTCTCTCTGTCAGATTAAGTCTTTGTATAGCATTGCCTTAGAGATCAATTAATCTCACTTAAGCTGAATCGGAGCTAAAGCCCAACTTGCAGGCAATATGATCATAATATGGTGAGGTATTTTATTTTGTTTGCCCTTTTTTTGTTTTTATCATGATTGTGTCAAAATAATTCTTTTTTAGCTTTGTGTAAGCCTGGAAGGTTTGTGAA